CAAGCTTCTAAAGACATCATATAGTGAAAAGTTGGGGATACTTATTTTTAAATTAAAAATTTTTTATTGGAAATAAATGGCAAATTTTTAACTTGCGCTCCAAGAGATTCCCATGTTTTACTTTGAACTAGTAGAAAATTTTCTTTTGGAACAAGATTTAAATGGTTCGTTTGGGTTTGAATTTCTTTGGCTTACCCAGGGGACCCTTCTCCTACTAGCAGAGCCATTACAGGTTTCCTTCCTTTCTGACCATGAGGTATGTTTGATTATGTATGGCTGCAAAGTCTGGTGTCTAGTAGCAGCTATGTTGTTCTGTTACAAGAAGAAATGAATTGTCAAGTGAAAAAAAGTATTTATCATGGGGAGATGATAAGCCTGTTAAGTAACTCTGCCAGGAAAAGAGGAGAAATCGCAGCTGTGTTTTATATAAAACTTTTAGGAGGAAAAAGGGAATACCACTTTGTAGATAGGCTACAATAACTGAATGCATCAAAATATTCCAACTATGAAAGTAGCAGCAGATAATATAAACAGATAACTTTTCACGGTACTGTACAAAGCTGAAAGATAGACTAGCATTTCAAAAAGCAAATATATGTGGAAGTGAAATCACATAGCCCCAAACTCAATTTAAACGCGTGAAAGAAAGAAAATTTTGCACTGATGCAGTCAACCCAAGAAGATGTGCTAGTAACTCCTGTCCTGGGACCCCCTTGTGAACGGTGTGGGTTGAAATGGGTAGACTGACGCCATGGGCCAGCGTGTGAAGGGCATCCAGAGCAAAGCTTTGAAACAATGGGGATGGAACCAACTCAGGTTTCATGAAATGTTAAATAAGACCGATTCTGTGCCTGTGTCTAGGAGCCCTGGTGGTGTGGTGTGGTGTGGTGGCTTATGCCTTGGGCTGCCAACTCTAAGGTCAGCAGGTGGAGCCCACCAGCCACTCCGCAGACTCGACTCCCTCCTACAGAGGCCATCTCAAGAACACGGGACAGTTCTCCTCTGCCTGTGGGGTCACTGTGACTCTGTGGCAGGGACTGAATGAGTGTTTGAGGTGATGCCTCTAAGTTCATTCTTACAAAAGTACAGTCTTCTTAGAGCTTCTTGTCTCCACGTTTCAGACACTTAAATCAAGGTTCTGAGGCTAGCACTGTGGCTTCAGGTAAACATATCAGGTGAAAATTATTAATACCCTGTGGGAGTCAACATGAACTGTGCAGTCTCCAAGAAATGTTAACTACTGTGCTTCTTCTTGATTATATTCTTGTATCCAGAGGTTATATGATACAGTGACTCTCAAAGTGTCATTTGTGGCCCCCTGAGAACACCTGAGACTTAGCATCTTCACCATACTATTAGGATGCTCTCTGCCCGGCGAATGAAGTCAGCTTCCTGCCTGTGTTCGATTGGGGTCTCTAGAGAAGCAAACCAATGACGCTAGTATGCACTGTATGTAGTCCAAGATTGATAGAAAAAGTGGCTCAGTTATAGAAATAGGCAAGTCCAGTCTGTTTCAAGTCAGACTTCTCCTGACTCCTGGAAGCTGATGCAGCAGAGATCATGGGGCACGGGCTGGCGGATGCAGAAGCTATGGCCCAGTGAATCCACTGCTCATCGTCTGCTGACAGGCTACTGGGATCAGCCAGCAGCTTAACAGGAGATGCAGGCAGGAACCAGGCACTGATTCCAGCTCTTGCAGAAGGGGCGGGGCTAGGGGATTCAATTATGCTCCGTCTCACTCTCATTGGAAATAAGCTCCGAGATGATGCATGAGAGAACTGGCCTCCTGCCTTGTTAGAAGTCTGATTAATTTACATTCAAGAATCAATTTAGCATTCTAGGTGCTATACAGTAAGCACTTGGAAATTCTAGGCGAATTCTTGTAAACATTCTTTTAACAGCTGTGCTAAGCTTACAAGGAAGTAAGGGGCTGCCCCTTGTTTGAGGGGTAAAGGTAAACATGCAGGTGCAGCTGCCATGTTGCAGGTGTCCCTGTCCCAAGCTGAAGCTACTTCTCAGGGTTACTATGCTAGTACAAGCAACGGTGAGGGCAATTCCAGCTCCCTGGCTAGGGAGATATGAAGAAGTTGGTCTATATCGTCCTTGGTTTAATTAAGAACCGAGAGAGATTTGGTGACTGTGGCCTTGTTGGTCCATGTCTTGTGTTTGACTTTCTATTCCACATGACCCGGAATCCTTACCTTGTGAACTTACGTAGTTAAGATATATCTGGATCACCTGAGAGCAAATGAAATAAATACATTTCTGGAAGGACATACCACCAACTGCACATACGAGGGGGCTTCAGAAAGTTGTAGAACATTTTCATTATCTTTTAACTTGGTCTTCAGAGACTGGGGCGGGGTGGGGATCAACTGACGAGGATTTAACTGTTCAAGCCAGGTTTCTCATTTTGATCTCCTATGGTCATCTCTCCAGTGCGCTCTGGTCACTAGTTTCTTCCCTAACTTCTTGTTCTAAGCCTTGCTTTTTGTTGCTGTTATTGCTCTGGCAGTTTGTGGTAGAGCCAATCTTTGGAAAACATTGCAATTCAAATGCGCAGATTTTCCTCTTGTTTATTTCACTCTCCAGCTTTCACATGTGTGAAATATAGAAGGCTAATTTTCCAGTTGATACCGTATATACTCATGTATAAGCCAAGTTTTTCAGCACATTTTCAATGCAGTTTTTGTGGTGAAATTAGGTGCCTTGGCTGATATTCAGGTCGGCTTATACTCGAGTATATATGGTAATTTTGTATTGTTGGCAAGTGAGGTTCCAAATATCTAAATGGCCCTTCGCAGGCAAAAGGTCCCCTGTCCCTGGTCGAGAGAGAGAGAGAGAGAGAGAGAGAGAGAGAGAGAGAAGGGGAAGGGAGGGGAGGGGAGGGCAGGGCAGGGCAGGGCAGGGGAAGGTAGGACTCTGGCTTCTTGTATCTTAAAAAGCCACTCCAAAAAAGTGACACGCTACCCTGGGATGTAAGATTTTAGGCTAAAATTATGATATCCGTACACATGGCTGTCAAGATCGAGACACCCGGGAAAGGAAACATAAAAGGGAAAATAAGAACAAAAGGGAAAAGGAAAGAGAGTGGTGTGGACGTTGTCGTTCACAGGCCTCCAGCCACTGGACGTCATCGTTGACCTTGGCTGCATGTCTAACCAGACAACTCCAGTGGCCCGAAAGTGGATCACGTTCCTACATTCGTGAATGAGCTCAGGGCAGAAGAGAGAGGAGATCTTAGCTAAGGAGCCTGCCACGTAGTCCAACCCTGCCACGTAGTGACAGTGCTCTAGTGCCTTGTGACTGCAGCCAGTCGTCTCCCTGCTGTGGAACTGTGTGTCTGTAAAGCCAGGGTGGTGCCAGTATGTTCTTCCCAGGGATCTCGTGAAAGTTAAAGAACTGAACCGTTAAACTCACAGATAATCCTAGCACTCCTTGTAACTATTATGGAGTTAGCAGGCGTTTGGTTAAGTCCTTCATGAATCTAAGCCTCTCGCATGATACCAGGCATGCAGACATTTAAATGAGTAGTTGCCATAAAGTTGGGCGGCTTTTATGATGGGCCTTGCCCAGTAGTTCGTGTTTCCATATGTTGAGGGGATCCAACGCTTGGTAATTATGTAAGCAGAATTAAGCCAGCCCTTGGGATGTTTGGGCTTTGTTTTAAATTATACTTCAGCCGTTTCGCAAAGCAAGTCTTGCTCTTTTACAGCTTGTACTAGTTTCAAATTAGTGTGACGCTAAGGTGATCAATGTTGAAAAAGGTCCTTCCAACATAGGAGCGTCACTTAGAAGTGTCGCCCAGATCACTCTGGTACTGTCCTAAGTGTCAGAGTTCTTCCCCTGATGCTTGGCATTGTGCCCGGGTGGTCACACAATCCTCTCAGCAATAGCATCTGGCTAATCAAATTGAAATCTGTCTTCCAGACTCGTTTCGAGAGAATACTGTTTTGACTCGAATTAAGGTGCCCGTTACGCAATGCCCATTAAAATCAGGAAATTGCGAGGTGCCACGCAGATGTAATTTTTCATACGTAAGCGAGGACAGTTTTTCTTCCACTGGAACGGAGGCTACCGTGAGCTTTCAAGTACGAGAGTTTCAGTGTACCCGTTCGAAGAGCCGGGCTGGATTAGATGGAATCTCCAGTCTCCATGTGTTTTGTCACACAGCATCTTCCACTGATGTCTTCACCTTAGAAGCGGGAGTTTTCTAAGGACCCCAGTTTCCCCTATAATATATTAAAGTGTGTCATTGCCGTGTGTTTCTTGGGTAATGATGGGGGGAAACAAAGGCCCGACTTATTTTTGTTATCTGTCATATCATGCAACTTGCTTTACATTGTACAGAAATGCTATATTTCATTTAAACAGTCCTGAGAAATGCCCAGAAGTCTAAAGAATCCCTTTGCTTCCTAAACGTCTGAATGTGGGGCACAAAGTCGACACTTTGGACCAGGGGAGGAAGAAGACCGAGTACGAGGGAACGTGTGCGTGCTCGGGTGTTTCTGGAGGGCTGGCACAGGGGTGCGGCCGCGCTCACCGCTGCACAGGTGCCCAAGTTTACTCCCGAAACCATCAGGGAGGGCTGCCAGCTCAGCCGTTTCCCTTCCTCAGAATGTCGTGCTCTGAGCAGGAGTGCACACTTCACCTGCTGCAGGAAACATTGGAGCAATCTGGTTACACGTAATCGAGTTTCAAAAGTTAACGTATTTATTGGCGCGAAGAAGGATGTTTATTGCTTTTGTGGATTCTGTTGGGTGCCATTGTCGTTCCCCGCCACCCCCACATTTGACTTCATGGTGTCAGCCTCAGCCTCTAGTTAATAGATGAATCTTGTGTACCTCTTTGCCATCTGTAGGTTAATAGAGATGTACGCTATTGTTTAAAAGGTTCAGTGGACCCATTTCTATTGACAGATGTAAACACCATCCGTCTTATTTGAGTATCTCAAGTTGTTGGCTAGCAAGTGAGCTTATACACCTTTGGGTTTCTTCCAGATTCATGAAAAGCTGCACTACTACGAGAAGCAGAGCCCCGCCCCTGTCCTCCACAGCGCAGCAGCCTTGGCAGATGATGTAAGTGTACCTGTCTGAGATCACTGGAACCTCCCCTCCCCTGACCCCATCCATAGGCCTCCTAGCCACAACCCATCCTAGCCTGCAGACACAGGAGCGTCCTCCTGAGACGGAGAACCATAAGAGCTTTGCACACGTTTCCCAAAGTCCTGTCGCCACTGGGCTTTAGGCTGATAGTATTTAGCTTCTCATTCACTTTTCCATTCTAAAAATACTTTGCACGTAAATACTCCTGTGTGCTGTGTTGGCCACTACGTCATAGAAATTGTCGGCTGCGGCTCTCTAGGGAGAAAGAAGCTGTCAGCTGTTAGTGTTTTGAGACAGTCACAGACAAGAGGAATGCTTTGGAGAAATAAAGACAGATGGGGTAGTGAGATTGCTGACAGTACGAAGAAAAATGACAGATAGTAGTCTGGTCTAGGCATGAGGCGTATGAACTACATAAAAAGACAGGATTGTGTTTAAGTGTGGATTATAAAGCCTAGTCATGATTTATGGATATTAGACTTTTCCAAATTACCTTCATAACCAAAAAATAAATTTTAGGAGCAATTGGCATTGATGGAGTAGTTAATTTCCTGTAGCTATAATTTTATTTGAAACTCACTTGCTGTTTCTTACTGCTCACTCTCCGACTTGGATGAATTGCTGGCGCACCTGTATAAACCATCCGGGACACTAAGTGAGCCGAGGAATCTCTTTAGTGGGAAAGCTGTGGTTGTGGGGATGTCCTGTAGTTTATTTGTTGATTTACAACTTTTCCTCCTCTCTGTTGGTGAAACAAAGTATAACGTAGCATAGTGAGGTATTCCAGGATCTTACGTAAAATACGTTGTTTTAAATGGATTGAAGCGTATTTTTATTTATATTGTTCACGTTCTCATTTCAAAAGTAAAGCGCACACCACCAATATCCAAACGTATGCCCTTTGTTTCGCCCCCAAGCTGCTTCCTTCTCTTTCTCCCATCGAGATCACAGAGATGTTGAAATGCAGTATGTGTCTGAAGAGGCCGCTTTCTCCCCCTGCAGGACAGAAACAAACTTTAGAAAAGAAGGTGATGAGAGAGAGGATATAGTTTCTCCGGCACACTGCGCTTACCACTGGAGGACCTTTATAAACACCCGTGTTAAAACATTTCCCGCTAAGGTCTTGGACAAAATTTGCTTATAAGCAAATGTAATTGAGACCCAATCATTAGCAAGTACGGCATTTAAAAAACTATTAGAGGTTATATATTCACGTGATAAAGCTTAGTATCTTTATAATTGATCAGAGCAATGCATTTAAATGCTACATATAGTGTTTATTTGATAAATATAATGTGACTAAAGTATGCAACGGGCCTTTTATTTAAGTTAAAAATCCCATAGAAATGTTACACTGGAAAAGTAAAAAGCAAATTTTGACAACTATTTGTTAGATATTTAAATTTTCTCAGATTTCATTTACTTTTTGTGTCAAATTTACATTAATGACTTTCTTTTAAAGAAAAGGCCCTTTTCAAGAGGTGAAAACAATTAGAAACAAGAGGTGAAGACAGAAGTTTGGTGCAGTGTTTATTAATAAAATTATTCATTAATAAGGGGTTCTTTCATAAAACATTTTGAATTTACTTTCTCTGCTTGAGTTTTGGTTTTCTTATTATGAGAAGTGTGTGCTCTCTCCTGTAGTCTAAAGGTGAGTAGAAATCCTTATAGGAAGATCATTAAATGGAGACTAGCTGGAACGTTCTACCCCCCTTTTTAGATAGTACCAACAAACGGAGTTCTTAGCCACTATTTATTATAAGTCATTTCATGATGAACTTAGTTCATTTTGAACAGAGATTTTTCACTCTCTCGGTGGATATCATCAAAGTGTCAGACCATTTGCTCTAGTGGGGGCACCCTAGTTCTTTTTACCCCAGCTCTAAACAGCATGGCCACTGTGGGGCTTTTTTGGACACACTATGGATTTCATCACCTCATTCAAAAACTCTCCCCGTTTCCCCCCCCCCTTTTTTTACGGTGTAAAAGCTTGATCCAGTTCATTTTACAAGTGGTCCTTTGTCTGTGTGCAGAGGACCATCCACGTAAATGGAGTGCTGGGCTTTGCCCTCTTTGTAATACATCATGAAGCGATCTGACGGATAGGATGTCTTGAGTTTTGGTCAGCCTGTGCCTGGGCTTGGCTTTGGTTACTAAGGGGCTGAAACGAAGAGCAATGACTGATCATCTCTTTTCCCTCCTGCTGATTTCTCTTTAAAACGCAGAATGGAATAACCTTGAAGGTAGATTCAGGACAACAGTCCTCGCCCTGAATGTGCCTAATGTCAGTGTCTTCTCTCCTGCAGCTGGCCGAAGAGCTTCAGACCAAGCCATCAAGTGGTGAGATCAGAGAGCTGTTGAAACTGCTGTCCAAACCCAACGTAAAGGTGAGGACGCAGATCATGCCTCTTACAGATACGTGTTGCAGCGAGGCCGCGCTTCTGAAACTTCACAGGAATTTTGCCCTGAGCATCGGTTTTCAAGTAGATGTATTTTCAAACTGCGCACCATATTTTAAGACCCTAAATTCTATTACAGAGAACAAGCTGAGCCTTTGAGGGGAGTGTTATGACAGACGACAAAATCCTTAGCAGGAAGCCCGGAATTTAAGTTGGCAACTAAAATGTCGCGCCGTGATCCTTTTCCGTTCAAATGAAGTTAGGAGAACAGAATATGGGATCGTCGAAGGATGTTGCTTACATGTGTTACGCTTGGCCAGTTAATGATGTTCCAGTATATTTGATACATGTATCTAAAATATCTAATAGGGTCATTTCAACATTCCCCTTTCTCCTCCTTTCAAATTCTGTGCTTCATTTGTCGATCTTTCAAAATACCATACTGTTTGCACCGAGCAGAGCCATTTTCCAGTGTGAAAAATCAGTAAATTATTGGCAGACATGTCAGTTTCCCCTTGCCATTTTCCAGCCAGGTTTATTACATATCTTTCCTCCCAATGGGACTATCTATGGAGCACTGGTGGCACAGCGGTTGAGCGCTCGGTTCCAGTCGAAGACTCCTAGCTGCTTGGACAGAGAAAGAAGGGGGAAGCTGCTTCCGAGAGCAATCCTTGTGGCAGTGCAACAAGGCTTACTGGGAGCTGGAATTAACTCATTGGCAATGGGTTTGTGGTTTGGACGATTGGCCCATTTTCACACATTTCTCTTCCTATTCTGAAATCGTGACGCACCAACTCCCGTCGCCTGTGCACCTGGCCCATGGCTCCGCTGCAGTTGCGTGTTAAAGACGTTCCCAGAATCAGAATCAGTTCACAGAAAACATCATTAGAATGACCGGTCATTCATGCTTTCTGCTGAGCATCATGTACAGAATGTCGGAGGAAGAGGCAGTCACTGGTTTCTGCTCTCTTGGAAAGTTCTCTTGGGAACTGTTACGTATGACCTTAGGTTTTGTATTTTAAAAGGTTAGTAGTAAATAAAAGGTGAGGTGGAAAAAAATGCACAAGCTTCAGATTCCAGTCCCTTTGGTTTCCAGGTGCCTGCCACTCAGAGCGACCCCATAGGACAGAGTAGAACTGCACCGGAGACACCCACGTGCTTCTCCCGCGGAGGCCTGGTGAGGTCAAGCTAGCAGCACCAGTTAGCAGTTGTGTGGCAGCCAATAAGCCTTCAGAACTCCTTATATACCCGGTGTTGGCTTCGGCAGCACATGCACAGAACTCTTTCTATATCTGAATACTTATATGTGAATATACAATTCAGGACGTATATGTTTATGTAATAATAAATTAACAAATTTGAATGAACAGTTAAAAGAATTATGGTTTTTTGGTTGTTTTTTTTTTAATTTGCTGAAGGTAATTCAAAACAGCAGCCGCAGTACATCCACAGGAAGCTTCCCGAAAGCCAAGCCAGATACAAAAGAGGGAGGCTGTAGAACAAGGGTTATCACTGTGACATCAGATGCATCTTGGCTGAAAGCAGAGGTCACCAGAGAGATGGGTAGCTGTGTTCTGTTGGCTACGCACAAGCGTTTGGGCAGATCATTATTATTCGGGTTGGGGGTGGGGGCGGCGGCGGCGCACTGCAACGACCCAAGGGGACTGCAAAAGCAGATACCTACACTTTATCCTGGATTATGGTCTGCACTACAAAAGTTTTTAATTGCCAAGGTAGTGCTAACCCCCACCCAACCCCCACCCCGAGAAGGAGGCCGAAGGCCAAATAAGTTTGAGAACCTATGGTGTAAATCAGCGGTTCTCAACCTGTGGGTCGCGACCCCTTTGGGGGGTTGAACAACCCTTTCACAGGGGTCATCCGATTCATAACAGTAGCAAAATTACAGTTATCAATTAGCAACAAAATAATGTTATGGTTGAGGGGCCAGGCATTAGGAAGGTTGAGAACCACTGGTGTAGATAATAACAAATTATTGGTAATATTGTGACAAATGGGAGTGTCAGAACATTCCATTGGGCTCATCCTGAACCTTTCACAGCTGACTTAATAAGCAAACATCATGATAAATGGAGAAAAGATTCAAGTGGTCAAGAATTAAATTTTACTTGGGTCTGTGAGTACAGTACCCATGGAAGCAGCAGTCAGGAAATATACTACACAGTGCACAGGACAAATCTGCACTAAGCCTGTTGACAGCGTTACAGAGCCGAGAGGCCACTTTGAGGACTGAAGTGCTTCTGAACCAGCGGTGGTATTCTCCGTCGCCTCATGATGCAGGGGAAAGGCGGAAAACAAGTGAGGAAGACCAGAGGAGAAGGACTGTGGTGCTGATGAAGAGTAAGGACAGTGCAGTAGGAACTGCCCGAAGAGGGGACAGGCCAGTCTCGGACGAAGCGCAGACAGGAATGTACTTAGAAGCAAGGAAGTCGTACATCAGCCAAACATCAGTTTCTAGTCCATATAATATTTTATCTTGTGTGTCAGAATACCCTTGGGTAGAATATAAAAATCACTTTCTGTCTGAAATATTCCTCTTTGATTTTTCCATACTCTCTTCTCTACCAGATACAGAGATTTCACCGTCTCCTCCCAGAGGACGTCATAGTTTTCTCTGGTTGGTTTGTACCAGCTTCTCATGGGGCAGTTTCAAGAAGACGTCTCCAGAGCCTTCTTGAGCTGTGAAGTCCCTTCTCTGAATTAGTCACCTGTCCGCACGCTTTATTTTTCATTCCAAGAAACCTTTCTGTCTAATCTGCTTTTCTTTCAGAACTAAAATTTAATGAGCCTCCAGCACGACTCCAAATCCATTACCCATATTATTAATTTTAGCGCCGTTGTCTTCGACGGGAAGTGCCCGCGTGCTTGTTTTATTGGTGTCGTTGTGAGGTGACATTGGGGGGACTCTGCTCACAGTGGAACACCAACATGGCCAGGGTCTACTCCATCGCCACGTCGTTGCCAGGTTGGAGCCATGGTTGGAGCTACCGTGTGAATCTCTCTTGCTGAGGGTCTTCCTACTTTACCACGCATGCTGCCCTTCGCTGGGAATTTGTTTCTCCTTATCATGTCCAAAGTATGTGAGGCAAAGTCTTGCCATCTTTGCTTCTAAGAAGCATGTTGACTGCATGAACTCCACTACAGATGGTTGTTCTTCTGGGAGTCCGTGGATCTGTCCGTATTCTTCACCATCTCCATAGTCCACCTGCTTCCCTCCTCTGGTCTTCCTCAGTCATTGTCTAGTTTCAGATGCACAGGTGGTGCTTGCCTCCCCTCGCTGGGTCTCGGAGCCCTGAGTCCTCAAAGTGCTTTCTTGGCTCTTGAACCTTCAGTGGGCGTGTGCAGCAGACGTGCGCACTGCAATCCGACGTTCACTTTCCTGACCGTCACTTCCACAGGGATTGCTTTCCTAGAGCCAAGTACAGTGAAACCCCGACACTTCCAACCTTTCCTCCTCCCCATGGTGCTGCGTGTGGGTCGTCATCAGGGTTTTTGTTCTGTGTTTTTCTCCTGTGAGCAGCAGTCCACAATAAAGGTTGTCGTCTTTGATCTTCATCAGTAAGGGTTTTAAGTCATCTTCCTTTCCAACAAGCTAGGTTGTATCATTTGCATACTGGAGGTTTTTAATGAGCCTTTCCTCCAAACTTGTTGCCATCTCTTCTTCTGATGGTACAGCCTACTGAGTGGATGAAATATGGTAAAAGGGTACAATCCTGACCCACACCTTTCCCGATTATAAACCAGGCAGTGCCTCGTTGTTTTGCCTAAAGCACTGCCTCTTGGCCTACGTACAGGTTCTGAATGAGCACATCTTAAGTGTTCTGGATTTCGCACTCTTTGCAGTGTTTATGATGAGCCACACAGTCAGCCACCTTTGCAGAGTCCACGAAACAAACATCTTTCTTGTCTTCTGTGCTTTCAGTCGAGATCTCTCTGAGGTCAGCAGTGATACTTCTTGGAATCTGGCTTGAACTTCTGGCAGATCCCTTTAGATGTACGTTGCATCCAGTTTTAAAATTATCTTCAGCAAAGATTAACTTGCATGTGATAAAAGGGATACTATTTGATAACTTCCACATTCTTTGGGGTCATCATTTTTGGGAATGTGCACAAATGTGAATGCTTTACCAGTTGACTGGCTGGCCTGGCAACTGCTTTCTAAAAGTTCTTGGCAATAACTAGTGAGTGCTTCCTGCATGGCATTAGGTTTTCAAAACATTCGGTTGGTGTTTTGTTTCAAAACATTTCGGTTGGTGTTCGGTTGGTGTTGGTTCCTGGCACCATGTTTTTCATTAAAGTTTTCAATGCACTTTGATCATATGCTGCTTTTCGAAATGACCGAATGTCAACCAATATTTCTTGGTACAGTGACTGTATCTTTCTTTTATTTATTTTTAAACAACAAACATAACATTTAGGATGTCACACAATTTGCTATGTGGCTCTGGATCATGAAGGTGCAGTAAAGATAGCACAGGGGCTGCAGTCATCGTGGCTTGATTGTGGCTGGAGTCTCCATTTCCAGAATCATTCACCATTAGCTAGAAGCTTGGTTCCTTTCCACCCCGATCTCCTCCTCCTCCTCCTCCTCCTCCTCCTCCTCCTCCTCCTCCTCTTCCTCTTCTTCAAGAAAATAGTTGTATTGGCATATACTTCACATATCATACAATTTAATTGTTCCATAATATTAAGAATACTTTAAAAAATCATTTTATTGGGGGCTCGTACAACTCTTATCACAATCCAGGCATACATCCATTGTGTCAAGCACATTTGTGCATTTGTTGCCATCATCATTTTCAAAACATTTTCTTTCTACTTCAGCCCTTGGTATCAGCTCCTCACTTTTTCCCCTTCCTCCCCCACCCTGCCTCTCTCATGAACCCTTGGTAATTTATAAATTGTTATTATTTTTCCATGTTTTACACTGACTGATGTCTACCTTCACCCACTTTTCTATTGTCCGTCCC